CAGCAGCTTCCGAACAACGTCGAGTTTGTCTAGAATTTCCTATGTTAAGGTAGTTTTTGATCGAGACATAGAGAGGCGGTTGTTGCATGGCGCTGACAGGCCTTGCTATGGCATGTACTGCACAAAACGCAACTGGCGGGTGTGAGTGACTACATCTTGCATTTTCTCCACAATTCTTGGGTCTAAAGACTTGCTTGTTTTTTGCAGGTTGTAGAGCTATTCAGCAGCTTCCGAACAACGTCGAGTTTGTCTAGAATTTTCTATGTTAAGGTAGTTTTTGATCGAGACATAGAGAGGCGGTGTTGCATGGCGCTGACAGGCCTTGCTATGGCATGTACTGCACAAAACGCAACTGGCGGGTGTGAGTGACTACATCTTGCATTTTCTCCACAATTCTTGGGTCCAAAGACTTGCTTGTTTTTGCAGGTTGTAGAGCTATTCAGCAGCTTCCGAACAACGTCGAGTTTGTCTAGAATTTCCTATGTTAAGGTAGTTTTTGATCGAGACATAGAGAGGCGGTGTTGCATGGCGCTGACAGGCCTTGCTATGGCATGTACTGCACAAAACGCAACTGGCGGGTGTGAGTGACTACATCTTGCATTTTCTCCACAATTCTTGGGTCTAAAGACTTGCTTGTTTTTGCAGGTTGTAGAGCTATTCAGCAGCTTCCGAACAACGTCGAGTTTGTCTAGAATTTCCTATGTTAAGGTAGTTTTTGATCGAGACATAGAGAGGCGGTGTTGCATGGCGCTGACAGGCCTTGCCTTGCTATGGCATGTACTGCACAAAACGCAACTGGCGGGTGTGAGTGACTACATCTTGCATTTTCTCCACAATTCTTGGGTCCAAAGACTTGCTTGTTTTTGCAGGTTGTAGAGCTATTCAGCAGCTTCCGAACAACGTCGAGTTTGTCTAGAATTTCCTATGTTAAGGTAGTTTTTGATCGAGACATAGAGAGGCGTGTTGCATGGCGCTGACAGGCCTTGCTATGGCATGTACTGCACAAAACGCAACTGGCGGGTGTGAGTGACTACATCTTGCATTTTCTCCACAATTCTTGGGTCTAAAGACTTGCTTGTTTTTGCAGGTTGTAGAGCTATTCAGCAGCTTCCGAACAACGTCGAGTTTGTCTAGAATTTCCTATGTTAAGGTAGTTTTTGATCGAGACATAGAGAGGCGGTGTTGCATGGCGCTGACAGGCCTTGCTATGGCATGTACTGCACAAAACGCAACTGGCGGGTGTGAGTGACTACATCTTGCATTTTCTCCACAATTCTTGGGTCCAAAGACTTGCTTGTTTTTGCAGGTTGTAGAGCTATTCAGCAGCTTCCGAACAACGTCGAGTTTGTCTAGAATTTCCTATGTTAAGGTAGTTTTTGATCGAGACATAGAGAGGCGGTGTGCATGGCGCTGACAGGCCTTGCTATGGCATGTACTGCACAAAACGCAACTGGCGGGTGTGAGTGACTACATCTTGCATTTTCTCCACAATTCTTGGGTCCAAAGACTTGCTTGTTTTTGCAGGTTGTAGAGCTATTCAGCAGCTTCCGAACAACGTCGAGTTTGTCTAGAATTTTCTATGTTAAGGTAGTTTTTGATCGAGACATAGAGAGGCGGTGTTGCATGGCGCTGACAGGCCTTGCTATGGCATGTACTGCACAAAACGCAACTGGCGGGTGTGAGTGACTACATCTTGCATTTTCTCCACAATTCTTGGGTCCAAAGACTTGCTTGTTTTTGCAGGTTGTAGAGCTATTCAGCAGCTTCCGAACAACGTCGAGTTTGTCTAGAATTTCCTATGTTAAGGTAGTTTTTGATCGAGACATAGAGAGGCGGTGTTGCATGGCGCTGACAGGCCTTGCTATGGCATGTACTGCACAAAACGCAACTGGCGGGTGTGAGTGACTACATCTTGCATTTTCTCCACAATTCTTGGGTCAAAGACTTGCTTGTTTTTGCAGGTTGTAGAGCTATTCAGCAGCTTCCGAACAACGTCGAGTTTGTCTAGAATTTCCTATGTTAAGGTAGTTTTTGATCGAGACATAGAGAGGCGGTGTTGCATGGCGCTGACAGGCCTTGCTATGGCATGTACTGCACAAAACGCAACTGGCGGGTGTGAGTGACTACATCTTGCATTTTCTCCACAATCTTGGGTCCAAAGACTTGCTTGTTTTTGCAGGTTGTAGAGCTATTCAGCAGCTTCCGAACAACGTCGAGTTTGTTTAGAATTTCCTATGTTAAGGTAGTTTTTGATCGAGACATAGAGAGGCGGTGTTGCATGGCGCTGACAGGCCTTGCTATGGCATGTACTGCACAAAAACGCAACTGGCGGTGTGAGTGACTACATCTTGCATTTTCTCCACAATTCTTGGGTCCAAAGACTTGCTTGTTTTTGCAGTTGTAGAGCTATTCAGCAGCTTCCGAACAACGTCGAGTTTGTCTAGAATTTCCTATGTTAAGGTAGTTTTTGATCGAGACATAGAGAGGCGGTGTTGCATGGCGCTGACAGGCCTTGCTATGGCATGTACTGCACAAAACGCAACTGGCGGGGTGTGAGTGACTACATCTTGCATTTTCTCCACAATTCTTGGGTCCAAAGACTTGCTTGTTTTTGCAGGTTGTAGAGCTATTCAGCAGCTTCCGAACAACGTCGAGTTTGTCTAGAATTTCCTATGTTAAGGTAGTTTTTGATCGAGACATAGAGAGGCGGTGTTGCATGGCGCTGACAGGCCTTGCTATGGCATGTACTGCACAAAACGCAACTGGCGGGTGTGAGGACTACATCTTGCATTTCTCCACAATTCTTGGGTCCAAAGACTTGCTTGTTTTTGCAGGTTGTAGAGCTATTCAGCAGCTTCCGAACAACGTCGAGTTTGTCTAGAATTTCCTATGTTAAGGTAGTTTTTGATCGAGACATAGAGAGCGGGTGTTGCATGGCGCTGACAGGCCTTGCTATGGCATGTACTGCACAAAACGCAACTGGCGGGTGTGAGTGACTACATCTTGCATTTTCTCCACAATTCTTGGGTCCAAAGACTGGCTTGTTTTTGCAGGTTGTAGAGTATTCAGCAGCTTCCGAAACAACGTCGATCGAGTTTGTCTAGAATTTCCTATGTTAAGGTAGTTTTTGATCGAGACATAGAGAGGCGGTGTTGCATGGCGCTGACAGGCCTTGCTATGGCATGTACTGCACAAAACGCAACTGGCGGGTGTGAGTGACTACATCTTGCATTTTCTCCACAATCTTGGGTCCAAAGACTTGCTTGTTTTTGCAGGTTGTAGAGCTATTCAGCAGCTTCCGAACAACGTCGAGTTTGTCTAGAATTTCCTATGTTAAGGTAGTTTTGATCGAGACATAGAGAGGCGGTGTTGCATGGCGCTGACAGGCCTTGCTATGGCATGTACTGCACAAAACGCAACTGGCGGGTGTGAGTGACTACATCTTGCATTTTCTCCACAATTCTTGGGTCCAAAGACTTGCTTGTTTTTGCAGGTTGTAGAGCTATTCAGCAGCTTCCGAACAACGTCGAGTTTGTCTAGAATTTCCTATGTTAAGGTAGTTTTTGATCGAGACATAGAGAGGCGGTGTTGCATGGCGCTGACAGGCCTTGCTATGGCATGTACTGCACAAAAACGCAACTGGCGGGTGTGAGTGACTACATTTTTGATTTCCGCCACCATTCTTGGGTCCAAAAAGACTTGCTTGGTTTTTGAAGGTTGTAGAGCTATTCAGCAGCTTCCGAAAACAA